AACACGAGGAGGAGAAACTCGAGCTCTTCAACACACTGACCATGCGCAAGACCCAGCACTCCGGGGACAATCCCAACGCGGAACCGATGGCGTGAAGAAGCTCCCCAACTCTGTTGGTCTGCGACTTCTACAACTCATGAGCCTCATGACCACCAACCTCGCGAACGCCACGGCTTCCATGGTTCTAGACGAACGGGATCTCCTGTGGGAGGTGGCCTGCTCCGACAACTCATGGCTCACCTCTGAAGTGCAAAATCATGGACTACCAGCACGCCGCATAAACTACAACGCAGGCTTCGACATCTACGACCCCCAGACTTGGGTACGCCTTCAAGACCTACGGCGACGACACAGACCCAAGCGCATTTGGTTCTCCTTCCCATGCACAAAATGGTGCCAATTCACCAATTTGAACTACAACACCCCGGAACGTCGAGAAGTCCTTGAAACAGCCCGACGTCGAGAACGCAAAATGCTGAAGAACGCCAAGCAGTTCATCCTGCAGGCCCTCGACGAAGACCCGGACTTCGACATCTACTGGGAATGGACCCATCCCTGCGCTGGGTGGGAGCAGCAACCAGTGGTTGACCTTCGTGAAGGTCTACGAGCTCGTGGTCTGGACTGGCTTCCCTGCCGAGTTGACGGCTGTCGCTATGGCATGACCAACAAAGCCGGCACTGACCTCCTGAAGAAACGGTGGTTGATCCGTACCACCGATGAGCGCTTCCATCAAACCTTCCGCGCTCGGGTCTGCACCAACAACCACAATCATGCACGAATAGAAGGAGCAGAGACGAGCCGCTCCAGCTACTATCCACTGCGACTCGTGCAAGCCATCGTCCGCGGATGGCTATCTGAACTTGCTCCACAACGGTACCTCAAGTACCTCTCGGCCTGTCAAGACTTATCTGGCAAGGACGTCAACCTGGATGACGACCATTGGAACCTCAAGCACTACCAGCACAACAGTATCACCTCCATGGACCCAACTCGGTCATCGCATGCATCCCGCGAACCTTGGGAGGCAACTCAATCCCTAGCTCTACCTCCTGGTCATGTTCGCGATGATCTCGAGACCTCGATTGAACCTCAAGCCTTACCACCTGATCTACTTGGCACCTCAAGTCCAAGCGCTGATCCCGCAGCTGAAGATCCCAACAGCTATGAGCCAGACAACAAGAAGCAGCGCACCGACGGCTATGACCTGGGCTGGCTCGAGGAACTACACCAAGTTGAAGGTGATCTCCATCAGCTACTCATCGACTCCCAGGAGGTGATGAAGATCGAGTTTGACGTTGACCTTGACTCCCACCGTAAGGAGAAGGACTTCCTCCGGGACGCCTCGGCCTTCATGGTCAAGAAGATGAGAGACAGCGAGGTTGTGCTCTCCCGTCTCTCTCCTGAACACAGAGAACTCTTCAGCAGAGCCAAGTCCAAGGAAGTCAGCAGCTTCATCAAATCTGAGGCTGTTCGCAAGGCCCTGGACGACAAGGAGGTCAGCGAGGCCTTCGACTCTGGCCGCATCATGCGAGCCAGATGGGTTCTCACCTGGAAACCAACACCTCCAGAAGATTTTCAAGAAGCTCAAGCCGAGGCGAAATCCAACGCCAAGTCCACCTACACCAAGGACGGTCAACGCAAAGCAAAAGCACGCATTGTGCTTCTCGGCTATGAACATCCGGACCTTCTTCGGCCTGAGTTGAAGACCTCTAGTCCTGTGCAGTCTGGGTTGGGAAGAAACCTCCTGTACACCATGGCCTGCACTCATGGCTGGGAACTTGAAGGTCTCGATTTGGCCACTGCATTCTTGCCCACAGAGGCGGATCAAGATCTGTGGACTCGCGGTGTATCAGAGCTTCGTGAAGCCCTTGGATGTTCCAGCAGACGGAGTCATGAAGATCCTCAAGAACATCTACGGCTCAACGACCGCACCAAGGGGACTCTGGCTGGACCTTCACCGGCGCCTGGCCTCCATTGGCGGCAAACCACTCATTGGTGAACGCTGCATCTGGATCTGGCAGTCAGCCACGGAGAAGGACGCCTTCGGCATCCCCCTGGTACTAGGCATCATGGGCGGCCACGTGGACGATTTCCATCGTTGTGGCAATCGCCTCTCGCCTGAGTGGGTTCAGGTCTGCTCCCAGATCGACAAGCTCTACGAGTGGGGCACTGCCAAGCGTGGCAACTACCGGCACGCTGGAACCGACCTGACCTCCATCATCAACAAGGACGGCTCCGTGGAGGTAAAGATCAATCAGCAGTACTACATCGACTCCATCGCCGATGTGAACATCGATCCCGATCGCCTTCGTCAAGAGAATGCGGTCATGAATCCTGAGGAGGTAGCTGCATGCCGCACTACCTGGGGCAGTCTTCAATGGCTGGCCTTGCAGACTCAGCCGCAGCTCTGTGCTAGGTGCAACCTACTTGCATCTGAAATCACGACCAAGCGCCTCATGCAATCGGCGCTGGAACTTCAACAGCTAGTCGGCGAGATTCGCAAGCACGCCTACCAGCTGCACTACAAGAAACCACCTGGAGTCGAGTCATGGCGAGACATGGTGTTTGTGACCTTCTGCGACCAAGCCCACGCGAATCGCAGCAAGATGGATTCCACCGGCGGCTTGATCTCAGTTGCTACTGGACCTCACGCAAGCGAAGGCAAGGTCACGTACATGGCACCCCTGGCATGGCGAAGCTGGAAGCTGCGCCGCAAGGCCATATCCTCAAATGATGCTGAAGTCCAGGCAATCCTGGATGGCGAGGATCAGAACTTCCGCATCCGCGTGCTCTGGTGCGAAATGAATGGAGCCGGTCACGATCTCACCCCACACGAAGACAGGGTGGAATGGGCTGAACGCATGGCCCGCGGCATCAAAGGCATTCTGGCCACCGACAGCAAGGGCGGCTACGATGCGGTGATCTACAACGAGTCACCAATGCTTGGGTTGAGCAACGCAAGAGCCGCGCTTCAAGCTCTTCAACTTCGGGAGCATCTCACCCGAACCGGAGCTGAACTTCGTTGGGTGGCCAGCGACTATGATCTCGGCGACGCCTTGACCAAGAAGAAAGCTGAGTGTCGCCTGGGTCTCACCAAGTTTCTTCAAACAGGCCTGTGGAGTGTTGCATACGACAACACCTTCACTTCAGCTCGCAAGAGCCACGGCCAAGGGCGTTCTGCCATTAAGGACGTGACGGCACATCAGCAACGGGATCAGCAGTTGAGAAAGGTTTTTGGCCCATGCGATTCCTTCGGTTGTGACATGTCAACTGTTGATCCACTGCTGCCACCATGGCCCTAGACAGAGGGGCCCCTTTGTCCGCTCGACACCGAGCCACGGTTGCGACCGCGCCAGTGGGCGCGTGGACATTCGATCTCAGCGCAAAGGTGTGCTTTGGCTGCTGCGAGCCTCCTTGACCCCCGGTCATTGCAGATTCCCTTGAAAAAAAGACTCTCAAAAAGGGTACCTAGAACCAACACTCTCGTTTTCCTGGCTGGTGCATGGAAACCTCAGGTCGAAAAAAACACTTACATAGATTAGATGCACAATGACTCCTTTGGCTTCCATGTTTATCTGCAGGGGAGTACTAACATAACCAAACCGCATCGTTCAAAGGGGCACTACATGGCCGCTGGTCCAAAATGAAGACTGCTCAACATGGCTGGTTTCCTTTTGGTTCAAACTCCCTCCAAATATGTGTTTCGTTGGGGTATCGTTTGAAACGCCTCGTTTTCCATGGGAATCACATCTTTTTCAGTCAGTGGCTTTCCATGGCAATTCCTCCCCAAGACTTGCCCTCGACCAGTTGTTGCACACCTTTCAGAACATGCTAGATTGCTAGGCTGTGTCGTTTCTGGCTGAAACTGGCTGAAGCCCACACCCGTGTCGGCGCAACCCGCTGAGGGCTCGCTCAAAACAATTCCTCCTAGTTTGGGTGTCCCTTTTAGGAGATCCCAACGTGGGTGGTTTTTCCTCGTTTTCCTTCAGGGTGTACTTTCAAATCACCCCAAGTGTTTTCTTTTCTACTAGGCTGGTCTTTTCCTAGGGCTGGTTTTCCGCAGGCTGGCAACATCCCCAGCATCACCAGCATCACTTGGACCTGGGGTGCCTATTGGCTCTGATTGGGTGGGAGTTGGGAGTTGCTGGGGGCTGGTTTAAGTTTGAGGGGCTGTTGGCTGGCTTAGATCTTCATGAGGGTGGGTCTTGGGGTGGTTGATTTTGGCGGAGCGAAGGGCTGACATCCAGGCTGGGCGGGTTTAGGGTTGACTTTGAGTGGGTTTGGGTAGGTTTCAAGCCTCCTTTGTGCGGATAGGACTTGTGATGCGCCGGAGCTTGTGCCTTTGATTGGGTGACCCAATCCTGCCCGGAGCCGCACAAGCCCAATCCAAACTCAGCCCGTGCCCTTGCGCTCCCCAAACAACATGGAACAAGAACAGGGTGTCTGACCTTTTCAAAGCAGTTTTCCTCCAGAAATCATGGCGTTGGCTCACTTCCAATCGAGTTGATGGTCCTCTATATTTTTTCCCAGACTTTTGCTTGGCCACACAAACCCAAAAAGAGTGACGATCAAGTCCGAGTCACCCCACGTGCAGGCGAGGACGCGAGGGCGAATTCACGAATAAGAACAAGCAAACGAGTCGTGTGTATTTTTTGTTGAAGCCGTGGGTACGAAGAGCTAGTCGGTGGGACACCCACTACTCGGTTGCTTTCTGCTCCGCTGCTAAAAGTTGAACTTTTGGCGGTTTAGTGAAAAACCCATTAGTTGGCAAAAAGCTTAAAGTCCTAAACCCATTAGTTGGCAAATTCAAGTCCTAACATCCTTTGGCAAAATGCACCAAAGAGTATCAGGGGCTGGCTGCTTCATCATATTTGGATGTGTGTCCAAATAGGGGGACCCGCAACATAGGTGGTTTCCCAAAAAAATAAAGGCATGCAAACAAAAAACAAACAAACGGGGAGTGCCCTGCTGACCTCAGCGAGCGACTCCAGCGCCCGTTCCTCGAGCCCGAAGTGGCGCGCCACCTCCGCCATGGATCTGAAGCGGCGCCCGGTCTCAGAGAACCAGTACCTCGATTCGCCAACGCGAATTGGCCCTTCGGCCGCGTGGATGTGAAACGAATGCTCTATGACCCGTCCGAAACGGACCTCAAGAAGTAAGAACGGATTGGCCAGACAAATTTCTTAAGTAACTAAACTCTTCGTTTACCCCTATGGTCCCAAACCCCCAAAAGTGACCCTCAGTCCAAACGGAACTCATGAAGTGGGCAAAAGCTACGCCAAAGCTCCGTTTTGGGGGCCTACGAAAGGGCCATCACCTTGGACGAAAGATGGGGACCCAACCACTCGCTTAGTGAGTGGATGCAAAAACCATCTGAACTGTGTATTGCCAAAATGGTCCATTGCCAAAATGGTCCAAACCCAAAAAGTGTCTCAAGTCCAGACGAAGTCACCTTCCTAGCTGGTGGCTTGGTTTGGCTTGGACCTTAGGTTTGGATGTAACTCCAAAGCGGGAACCGCCGAAAAACTTCCAATCCCGTGGATTCGCTTTGGTTGCAACTGAGAACAAACGCGTCTCGCCTCACTCGAATCGGCGTCCGAGTCGCAGGTCGGCGTGCCCCGCGGAGTTCCCAGTCTTCCGAACCTTTCAGATTCCCATGCGAAAGCATCGGCAAACCAATCCGATGGCCACCATTTTCTTGCTTGGTTGGCTTAGAAACTTGTGTCCCTTCAATCAAAAGGGAAAGGAAAACAACAAAAATAGCAATGAGCTAATATCGGTAGTCTGAAGCACTGTTCTGACTCTTCTTGGGGCGGGGGGGGGGAGGCCCCTCAGTAGACAAGGTTCAACATGACTGGATTGAGACTACTGGATTTCCACGGGAAAGGATCGGCACCAAAGCTTTGTTTGGTACGTTGGCGTTACTGGGGGCTTTCCCTCTCCAAACATGGGAATGGGTTGAATTTCCCATGGGACAACGCGGGCAAACTTTGTTTCGCCGATTTTAAAGGGGGCATACAATGGGGAAACAACTCGGCAGCATTTTCTGTGTTGGTAGTTGGTTTAGAGACATTTTCCCTCCGAACAATAGGAGCAAAGGAAAGGGCAAGCTTGTTTCGGTAGCCGAAGGGTCATGACCCCTCCGTTGCAGACCCCCCCGGGCCCTCTGATGCAGAAGCCATACCCCGCAAGGGCCCTCAAACCAGGAGTTCCCCGAAGACCATCGGGGCCCTCAGAGACCTGGTAGCTCCGAGTCCGGCTCCCAAGTTAACTGGGCTGGACTTAGGACCCCAGCGAAATAAATATATAAATATATATATATATATATAATATATATAACGGGAGCCAAATTATGGTTGGAAGTTCAAAGCAACAAATTGGAGAGTAAGTGGCTCCCAGCTGTGAGTCCGGCTCCCTTGCATCAGCTGGCTTAGAAGACTAGGTCCTCCAGATTTGAGAGGTTAGAGGTTAGGGTACCAGCTTTTTTCTGTAGTCTATTTTAGTAGGGGAACCCTCCCAAACAAAAAAGTTGGTAAAAGGGCACTACTGGGGGACCTAGAAGAGTTGACTTGAAAGGAAGCGTTGAGCTCTCCAGAGGGGAAAGGGACCTCCAAATGGGTATGGGTCAAAATTAACTCATCAGGGGACCGCAGGCTTTAGTCTTTGTTTCCATTTACCCGGGTTCCATTTTGGGTACCTATTTTTGACCCACACCCAAATGGCGTTGCACCTCCAAACGGGCCTTCTGCGGGCCCAAAATGCTTAGGCGTGTGTGTCTAAGAATCCAGCTACAGTAAATCCAACAGACAAGTCTACCAAGCCCCGACAAGGTGGAAACCCCTTCAACCCAGAAACTAATTCAAACCAACATCAGTGCCATGTCCCGCCCACCACTGGGCCCAACTCCAGCGTACGCTACCAGCTCAAATAACCTCCCAAACACCATCATGGGCACCTAAAAAAGATTCCTTTTCGAGCAAACTGGTTGAACTCAGGCACCTTTCAGGTTCCATGCAGGTTCCTCCATTTGCTTAAGCGCTCCTCATGTCCAGTAGTGAAATGGCTTCCCTTGAAAAAACAACAACCTTGCAATTCTGGGGTGGCAGACCCCAACTAAATGTTCGCCCAAGTTAGCAATGTTGATCCCGGACTAATAAATCCCTGTTTATCAATGTGGGGGTGTCCCTGGCTTTAGTGGGGGAATTATCACTCTTGGAAGGGAACACGCACCCATAAATATTGATAAAGAGGGGTTTACTGATCCGGGATCAACACTAATTATAGCCACTTGGGGTTTTTCACCCCGTTACCCTGACATTCACGGGGGGAACTTCTAAGTGGGTTGCACGGAACTCCAACAACTTACCAAGACTTGGCGAATCGAACACAGTTCCGATCCCTAGATTTCCAGGGCTCCACAGCGTTCCTTACGGTTCCTTAAAACGCCTCAGGAATCCCCCCCGCTGCACCACCACCCCCATAGGAACTCCATAAACTGGGCTCTCCAGAAAAAATCATCTATACTGGAGTCGCCATGACCCTCAACTTGGGTCATTACCCAAATCAAAGGGGGTCATGACCATATTCTCAAAGGGCCATGAAGGCTCCATCTACTTTCACCCGCCTTGGTTGCTGTTGACTCCCCTGCAAAAAGTTTAACTTCTTGGGGGTTCAGTGCAAAACCCAACTGGGTTTCAACCAGAAAGTTAAATTCGAAAGATCCAGCCCAAGAGCAGTCAAGAAACCCGCAACTCCCCGTCGACTCGACTCGACTCCGTCGACTCGAGCGGGGACTCGACTCGACTCCTCTCCTCGGTGCGGGCGGTCCAGCCCTGCAGCTGCACGTGTTTGCCCCGCTGGGCCAGGTACTTCGCCAGAGCGGCCACCTAACCCCGGACTCACCATGCAGCTTCTTCATACTGTGGATGGTTGCGAAATCCATTTGCTTCTCGCACTACCGTTCAGAAACCCTATGATGAGATTCACCGGTAAATACCAACAAAAAATGGTTTCAACCATGCTTCAAAGTAGTGCGAAATGGATTTCGTCCATCCACAGTAGGGTGCGGGCTGCGTTTAGGGGGGAATCAGACCACTTTTGGCATCAGCTCAGATGCCCAGTGGATTTCCAGAAAAACCGTTGGCATCTGTTTTTTGCTGGTTGAGTTGAAAGGGAAACCCTTTCCCAAAAAAAAAAGGAAACAAAAAAGGCACCACTGATCAACAGAGACAGCTTATTCATAGGGGGGTGCTTTTCTCTGGGTTTAGTGGGGGATCAGACCACTTTTGGAGGGGACCACCCCCCCATTAATGAACGGGGGTTAATTAAGGTCAACAGTACGAATTTCCAGCGATCAAGAACCGCCAAGTTAAGTGATGACGCACGAAGAACAGAGTTTACGGATTTAAAGTGGGGTATAACCCGCTTATCAGTGACTTGGGCTGGTAAGTAGGTGAACACCCAAGATACTAGTCACTTACTTTCTCGGCGAATCGAGCACACCAGTCCGTCAACGATGGGAGGCCGGGTGGACAAAAATATCGTGGGTGAGAAAAGACTTTCAATCTGAGGGTTGACGAATGTTGGTTTGCCATCAACAAAAAGGGATTTAAAGGGGGACGCTTGTAGCAAAGGGACTCCTGTCTGGGTTGACGATACTGACTGGGGAAGCCAAACAAATTAAACCAACTAATTAGGAACAGTGACAAAAACAAAGGACAAGTCTAAAGGGACGTCTCCTCGACTTTTGCGGGAAACAGGGCGCTGGGGGTCCGGGTTTCCTTAAGATGCTACCAACACGCAAAGTACTTACCGTCCTTTTCTTCAACACAGCACCTGACAAATGATTCTTGTCATGAGCAAAGTGATCTTCCAGCCCTCTCAATGGCCATAATGTATACCACGCTGAATGACGTTTGCATATCTGAGATGCACTCCCCTCAAGGGCTTTGTGGGATGCACAACTACTATATAGCACCTATATATGCAAAGGGCGCAAAGGGTAGGGTAGTGATGGATGCCCTGTCGACCCCGGCTTAGCCAACCATCGACCTTGAAGGGCGGCTGTCTGTTTGTAGCGTATTGGTTTACAAAACGAGCCCAATTTAGATGATGACCATCCTTAGGTAGACAATGTTGGTTTCTACTTACCCCCTTGTTTTAATGGTGGTTTGAACTGCAGGGGTATGTTCAGCTGGAAGCTTACGCTTTAAACAAAGGGCATGGCCGGGACGTACATGCCCTCTAAGTGGTATGAATCTTGTCCAGTCACGCAAAACAAACACCGACATGCAGCTTGCCCGAGGAGACTTGGAACAACATGCTTCCAAGCTTACATGGGGCTTTGTTACAGCCTTCTACCCAAATGAAACTGCTCGCTTCATAAATTGGACTTTTGCAATCTTCTGCATCATGCCACATTGACGAGGGATGCCATGCCACACCCTGTCCCCGAGCCCTTATGAAAATGCATAGAATGCATCCACTGAACCTACTCGACCCCCTCGCGACTGGGGCAAATGATTCATTTGCCCCTTCCGCGAAGCCTTTCAACGAATGCTACCTCAGATGCCCAGCGGGCCATGGGGAAAAAAGAATCGGCACCTTATTTTCTTGGGTTGAGTGCCAAGGAAAATCCTCTAAAAAAGGAAAAGGGGCATAGCTGGACAACAGAGCTATACTTCCAATTGCAGCGAATTGAACGCTCATGTGTTTCCCAAACGTCGGGACGTTCGCGCCAACGTGTGATGCTCAGAGTTCATCCAGGGACCCCTGAAAGACCAACAATCCCACCTTCATAAAGCACTGAATGACAAGAAGGCGGTGTTTCATTTGTGAAGTGGGTTCCTTCTGTTGTTGGGGAAGGCACCCCTGGACCTCCAAGATGTTTGCTGGATGGCTCAATTTCCGCACAAGAAGTAAATCTTTTGGTTTGATGGGGTTCCAACAAAAAAGGATCTGCCCAATTGGTGGCTTGGATTGGTGGCCTGGGGTTGTTGAACCTCTGGTCCTTGTAGAGGGTAAATGGGAACCACCCCGGAATGTCACCAAACGACCGGGCTCCTTCTGGGTTGGTTTTCAAGGAAATTGCACATGTCGACCTCTTTTTTTTTTTTGGGGGGGGGGTTGGCCTACTTGAAGACGCAGTCAACTTCCGGATGACCTGAACAGATCCCCGGGACATCGACCGGAAACACGACCCGGCAAGGAGCCTTCCCTTGGCTCCATTCCTCGGCCCGTTGCTTTTCAAAGGGCCAAGCGCGTGGGTTGGCCAATCCGATAGGGAAGCCAATGCAAAGAAGGCGTTCAAAATGAGTCGGGTTGGCCAATCTGATTCTCCATAACTTGAGGGAAGCCAAGAATAAGGGGACTCCTTGCATAACCCAGAGAAGGAATAAAGATTTCCTTTCAGAAATCCTTGAGTCAGGTGACACCCGACTGGAATTGGTTGCTAAAAAGAACCGACAACGCTTCGGCCTAAAAATTGGCTTCCGATAAAAAACACCAACGGCACAATCTGGAGAAGTCTTCTGCATAATCTCCCGGCAGCGCTGACCACTCAACATAGTAGTCTGCACATACTGACACCCATATACATACGCACGTGTTGAGGAGGGTCCAACTCCGGCTTAGGGACACCCGACGTCATAGAAATTGCTTTGGAACGCCAAACGAGGCAATAGTCCTCAACTACTTCCATACTATTTTCATGCTCCAACCGGAAATGCAGGTCGTATGCAGACTCAGAGCGACAAGAGCCATTGCAGCCTAATATCACCGGATGAGTCCGGGGGACCCTTACACGCAGCTGGGCTTTTTGCGAGCTTTTGACACGGGATGTTCAGCTTCACGCCCCTACTGTTTGTGACTACCGTTCTTTCTGCACCTGTTCGACCGACTGGGCTCCTTTTTCTTTCTCCCAAGCTTCTGCTCTGCAAACGATCTGCAGGCTATGAGCGTTTTGGCCACAATTGCAGCAATGCGGCGCATGCCGACCATCGACCATGGTTTTGAGGCATCCTGATGTCAAAACTAATGAGATCGGAGAATATGCAAATTAACAGGGGGTCGCGCATCAGCGTGGCGCGTGCTACGAGGAACCCTCAAGCGCGACTAGGTAGTGCCCCGCGGCGGTGGCGGGAAGGGCATGCAAGACAAGGCTAAAGCGCCATCCCTTTGTCCCTCATTTCTTTCTGCCTCTCACTTCTTCTCTGCCTCTCAAACAAGAAAGGCGGGAGATGCGGCGGTGAGAGCGTCTTTTGCAAAGTCGCTCGCCAGCACGCGGCTCATGAGGGCCCGCGAAGCTGGAGAAGTGGCGCTTACTTGGTCTGGCTGCGCGTGTCGCAGCTCGCCCAGGTGCGGCGGGACAAGTCCGGGTACAAGGTCGTGGGCGGCTCAGCGCTCGCGACTTCGGGGCTTGGAAATCTTAGGGTAAGACCTCGCGGCAAACAGCACGTTTACCCTGACGCGGCAGCCAGAAAAGTCAGCTCTCTTCAGGCGCACTGACGGCCGGCGCTTCGCTGAAGTCGAGCCACAGGAAAAGTGCCCTGGCGGGTTGCAGACGCCTGCAGCGACGCCGTCCATGAGCATCCGTCTGCTGTGCCGCTAGCTCCTTCGCACTTGCCATCACATTTACACTCCAAACCTCGCGTCCGGCGCTCTTGGACCTGCGGCGGGGCAATGTGCGGGAGTTCAACACCGCGAGCGGGGCGGGCGAAGAGTCGGGCGTCCAGGGGCGAGAGCGGCTGTGGGCAATTGCCGCTCCAGAAAAGCTTGGCTCAAACATGCACACACACACACACACCTTGCGCCTTGGCGGTGCTTGGCCTGTCTCTCTGAGCAGCAGTCCTCAATTGGCGCCCTCTTCCGCCGCCATCACTGCCACGACTTTGCGCCGCAGCTGGTCGAGCAGGCCTCTAGTGCAAAAGTTCAGGCCAGATCTGGAACACCTGCCCGCAGCTAAGCGACCGCTGCGCAGGCAATCGTATGGCAAAGCAGGGGGGAGGGGTATGGAATCTGGGGAAAACAGTTGGAACCATTGAAAACCATGGCGAGCATTGGAAGCCATTCACATATATATTTTGTACGACCAGGTAGTGACACCAAACCAAGGGGCGTAACAGCATCGGGAAGCGCCTCGTGGGTCAAGTTTGAACAGCCCAGGCCACGCTTCTGCGTTGAAAGCAGCTCACTAAGGAGCTGGCCCTTGAAGCGGCAGGAGAACTTGGCAGTGAAGCAACCCCGGAAAAGCTGGCATTGGCAGGAGAACTTGGCATGCAAAGTAGCGATCTAAAAGTTGGCAGGAAAAGTTAGCAGGTGGACTTGTAGCCGTCTTTAGAAGAAGACCCCTTCGAGTGCTTCGGGGAACAACAAACTTCCGAAACGCACATGGAAGCTAACAAGGTCTTGTTCAGGCCTCATTGGGCGGAAACCAGTGGGCGAAATCCTACACAACCCCCTGCTCGTTTGCGATCCGTGCTTAACACTAGCAAGTTGTCCCCCTCCAAAGGGAGCCCTGTGCAATGCTGACCAAGCCACGTCGTCCAAGCGCGGGCGCTTGGCATCTTGGCATGGCACTGGTCTCGCAAGACCGTGCCACCAGAAGGCCTGCGCGAAGTGGTCGTGCTTGCAGAGGCAGATTCTTTGGACACGCGATCCCTCCGTGGTGTTCCACTTGTGAGGAGGCTCCCTATTGCAATGCATAGCCAAGTGCCTAAACTTAGGCGTCCTCAACGTCCAGGGCTGTGGGAAATAACCACTTCTGTGATACAACAAAAAGGGCTTCCCAAAGACTAACACCCCAGGACGCCCCATATAAAGGGGGAGATTCCCTTGTATCACGGAAGTGGGGAAAAACCCCTTGATCCCACAACCCTGCTCTTCTCTGACCTCGCTTTGGTGTCACAAAGCCTACCTCAGCTGCCAACCCAAATCGACTTCAGCTTCTGTCAACCATGCAGCATACTCAGTAACCTCAAAATCTAACGTGTCATTTCTGAGTCATCCCTGGTTGCCAAATGAGTGTGCCAGTTTTGAGGATACCCTTTTTATGTGGGTAGAGGAAACCCAAAAAACAACCACCAGTTTGAAGGTTCGCGATAAAAGGGCGGAAATCAACAGGCAGTTTCTCTCTCCCAGCAACATGGCCTTGCGAAGATCCTTGACAAGGGAATTTACCTTTACATGGGAGGGCAACCTTTTAGGACGTTTCAAAAAGGAAAGGTTAACAGGAAACATTCAATCAGGTTCCCCAAAGATATACCAAGTGCGCCCAAAAAAGAACACAATCAGGCATGGCGGCATGTTGCCTGTAACGGATACCAAACAGGTTACTTGGGTGTTCGGCAAAGTTAGTAAGTTGTCGGTCAAACCTAGTGTGCAGCCCACTTCTGAGGCACCCGTTCAGTGGGGCTAAGCCTGTTCTTCGTGGGTTGGAACCCAAGTGCCACCATCGAAACAGGGGCGCTACAAGGGGACACCCCCTGCAAAAATAAATAAGCAGCAACCAGTGGTTCTACTTACCCCCTACCCCAAATACCAATTTGTGTAAAGGATTTTTTGGACAACCGGGTTTTCCATGATAAATACCTCCTTTTTTGGTAAAGGGTCGACATGATACGAAAGAAAAAGAGAGTATTTGGAGTAGGGGGTAGATCCAGGGTTCCCAGTACCACCATCAAAACCACTTCACCTTTCTCAACGCGAGTTTTCTCTCGCCTGCGCGCCCTGTCGCCAGCGCGCCAGGAGGCCCCTGTACGGCACAGCCGGCCTCAACAGCTCCGCGCTTCGGCCGTGTAAAGGGTAAAGGAGAAGCCCTGGTTTTGCAGATTTCAACAGCAATCATTTCAGATGTGGTTCTGAGGTATAGTGCATGGATGCAAAATCCACCGTTGGTATGCATGAAAGCCTGTAAATAATGAGCAAACCACGAATCCCAACTGGTGCAGGATTTCTTCCATCCACAGTATGGGTTTGTGATTCTTGTGAGTTTCACCAGCCACACATGAAGCAACATGTCGGCTCCGGCCTTCACTTGACGAATGTTGTCTGAGGTTTCGAAAGGTTTTGTAAGTACGACCCAAACCAAGATTGACTCAGCCGATCTGCACAAGAAGTAGAAGCTGTTTCCAGGCCAGGGCAATGTTTAGTGGACAAGACCACCAGACAAACGGGGAGCGTTCAATTCCCACCAATCCAAACCACCAATTACGAAAATCCGCAAATCCAAACCACCAATCAAGAAAATATCCACCAATCCAAGCCACCAAATAAGAAACTCCAAGCCACCAAATGAGGAACTCCAAGCCACCAAATAAGAAAATCCCCGCATGAGAATTATCTGACAAGATTGCGGTTGTCACATCAAGCCCCACCCACCGACCGCACCTTGGCGCGCTGAAACCCGGAGCTCCCGCGCTGAAACCTGGGAGCGGCTGGCGAAGGACTGCTGAATGACTGCACTTGGCCGTCTCATGACATGAGGGCGGGGGGGGGGGGAGCGGTGGGGGGGGGAGGGGTGGAGGGAGCCCAAGTAAGCTGTTCTGTTGCCAAGCCCTTGTTAAGGGTTTATTGCTGAGCCCACGCCCCCTTCACCATCTGAAACTCTACTCTACTCCATGGGTGTGTCTTCATATAATATAGAGGACCCCCAAAATGGTGGACCTCACCCTATTTGGTGGTTGGTTTGGTGGTTTGGACGTTCAGGGAATCCAAAACCCGATGGGCAATCAAAAGAAGCTGGGTTCAAATCCCTACCCAATCCAAACCACACAATTCATGCTTGCCTGATTCTGATGTGTCCTGGTGGAGTTCCATGCTTCGTCTACCCTGAAAAAACACGTTTGTCTTGGACGTATGTTGTTTGCTTAAAGCCAAACTTCAGTGATAGCAGCAAACGATTGGATAATCTTGACCCATGATCAGTACCCCCCCCAAGTCATCAATCAGGGGAGCCTAGAAAAGAATAACATGAAAGCAAAAACGACTCCTCCATAAGTGGGGCGTATGAACCAGGGCTCGTGATCAGTGGTTTGCATCCCACACCATCCCCAGGGCAAGGAAATGCCACCTCGGTATCACAGAATTGTGGCACTCCCAAAACCTTTGCTTCACAAGTTGAACCATGTCGCATGCCCATATCGGTTTGGTTTTCAGGGTACTTTTTTGTCAGGTTGGTGTGGGAAGCCAAAAGGAACCAGTTTACACGCCAATGTTCAACCATCATTGCATGTGGACAACTCAATTCATTGATGCTCAGTTCCTGGATCCCAACAACAATCAATGAGAACAAACAACATCTACACGGGGATTCATGTCCACCCACTTTGAAGGTGGGTTCCCATTGAAACTTACTGCCATTGTTAGTCTCTCAACATGACGTCATGTAGGAGACCAGGCAATAGAACCACATCCTTGCCTTGGGAAATGGCTTGCCCCTGATTTAGAGCCCTCCGTGACGAGAGGTGGAACACTTTGCTCTATGAATCGGACCTCCCAACTTGTTTAAGGTCACCCTTCTTAAGGAGATACCTCCAAGGGTCCTTTGCTTAGGGCGTATCCAGTAAGCCAACCATGCTTTGTGTTCTCATTGTGGAGTCTCTCATCAGAGATTCGCCGATAAGAACAGTGTGGATCACCTGCGCAAGCGCATGACAGACGATGACAGAGCGCTTCTAGTTTCGCACTCTGCGCGCCTAGAACCATTAAAGGCTTCCGCGGCATGAGCCCTCATCGAGAAGAAGAGGAAAAAAGCCACGGGGGATATGCAAAAGTTATTCTCCTGAAAACTGCCCTTCCGCCGCCCTTCCGCAAACCTTCCGCGCCCATTGTAAATCTACACACAAGTTATCACTGGTTCTCGAACAATGCTTTCGATTCCTCGCTTCCGGATCTCTTGCGCCGCCCTTCCACGTCTCTTCCGCGCACACAGTGCGAAGCTCATGCCATGTAAGCCCGGAAATTCGGAGAACTAAACTGAATACATGAGTTTTAGCACGACGCCCATACAACCATGGTTCTGAGTGGGGGCAAACGGCTCAGTCTCCTTACAACCATGGTTTGCAAGCCCCGGAACTCTCTGGATGCTCCAAACCCCTTCTGGGCAGAGACGACCACAATGCTTTCTTCTGGGGTTTGGAACATCCGCTCCTGACTTCTTTTGAAGATGTCCGCGGCAACTGCTTGGTTTCACCAATGTTTAGTTGGGATATGTTCAGCTTCGGAGAAACCCAATCTTCTGATTGAAACAGTGTGAGCAATAACCTTAGCCATAGCCCAGCAGAAAGAGTTCAGCTTTCTGCTTCCCGCATCATTCCAGGAGCAATTACAACCATTAAAAAAGGAAGGTCTGTTGTGAGAAACCTGGTTTTTGAGCGCATTATTATTCAACACCTGGTTTTTGACCTCTGCTGTTTTTCTGAACAACCGGGTTTTCGGGTGCTTGAGGTGTCTGTTTGCAGGCGTCTGGGAAACTACAATTGGGTTTGGCTCAAAACAGGGGTAGTTTCCTTTTGGTTGCCCTTTACAACCAGCCCAAAAAGGGTATCCTCAACAAGAGCACACCCAAATCGCTCGCCCCAAAGCTCACTTCCCGAGTGGCCGGCCCACAAAAAGTCCAAACATGTCCTGTTGCTGTTGACCCCTCTGCAAAAAGTTTAGTTAACTATTTGTGGATTTAGTGGAAAACCCCTTGATTTCCCAAAAAGTTAAGTCTAAAGATCCAACCCAATAGCAGTCAAGAAATGTTCCAAAAGTGGCTGAAGTCCGAAACGGACCTCAGGACGTGAGAAAGGCGACCAAGGCTTGTGACGACGTCACAACCATTCTTTTGTTCAAGGCGCTAATCAGCTGGCCACTGGCCTCGCTGCTGGCCGGCGCACGGGCGATTTCCTCTTGGCAGTGAAGTAGGAATCCAACTTAAGTTTGGTAGATATAAATGTGGGTAAAAAAACCGGAATTCCAAACTGGAACCCTGGTAAGTGGAAACATGGACCAAAACCTGTGGTTTGCCCCTCCTGTTTAATTTTGAGCCACACCCATATGGCACTCTCTCAAAATCTTACTCACTTCCGATCGAGCGGATTGACCAACACAAAACTAAACTCGGTTGCTTTCTGCTCCCCTGCTAAAAGCTTAACTTTTAGTGGTTTAGTAGAAAACCCATTAGTTGGCAAAAAGTTCAAGTCCTAACAGCCAAGCAACATGCACCAAAGTTGACTAAACTTAACATCCGACCTAAAACGGCAAGCTTTTTAAACTTGTGATTTGTCACTAACATTGCCCAACCCAAAAAGTGACTAAAGTCCAGGAGCTCAGGAAGTGAAAAATAGGGGCACCCCGCACGAAAAACTTGTTTTTTTGGCTTCCCTTTACAGCAACCCTAAAAGGATACCCCCAAAAAAGACACACCCATAGTTGCACGATTCTTTCCAACACTTGTTATGGTAGCCAAACAAATTGCTTGTCTTGCAGCCCCCCACTAAGCATGAACAGAACCACAATTCTTAAAAACCTAAAACATGCCAACAAAGGTGAAGGATCTTTTCCAGTTGCGAATACTGTTTTGGACAAAGACACACATTTCCAGTAGTGTTACATTCGCATTAAAATCAGTAGGGGGACGACAGCACGTGTTTTTAAGCAAAAGGAAGGATTGTGTGCGAACATCGCTGCATTTCACCTCTCCGAACTGAGGAAACCCTCATAGCAGTAGTTGGTAACCCTGACAATAAACATTTGAGTCGCAATCAAAACCCGGTACTAAAATGGTCTACCCAAAACCATGTAAGGAATGAATAAGCTTCATCTACCCGGGTTTTAATTGTGGCTCATTTCCCCTTGTTGTCAGCCCCTCGACTGAGCAAATTCAAGGGCTCCTGACGACGTATTGGTAGCCGAGCGAATCCTAACTTCCGGAGTGGGTTTACGACTAATATGTTCTTCCTAACACTTATGACGCTCATGAACTCATCTTCTGCCCAAAGCACAGGTTTCCCTAATGATTTTTTCTTATCCTACCAGAAGGAAACATGGGCTGTCCTCAGATCCAATGCTAAAAGTTGAAGTTCCGTGGGTTATGTACGGAAACCCAACACGAAATCAACTAAAAACTAAAAAGCCAAGTTGAACCGGATGGCCTTCTTTGGAGCCACGAATCCTAAAGGGAAATCACCTGGGAGCCACCAACCCTATACTTTCCTTTCAAACATCAGCCCACCAAAAAAGACGCTAACTGACCCACAGAGGGAACTTAGCTGCGAGGTGTGAAGCAACGCACGCGCGCACGCTCGCTCTCCTGCAAGTTCTGCTCGTGCAGCGGGCGACGCGACATCAGCCCATGGCGAATCGGGGCGCGTGGTCGTTTGATCGAGGCGGACGGCTGGACGCGCCGTTCAGTCTGGAAAACGAGAGTCAAAGGCGTCGATATGGGTGCGTCTTTTTGTTAGACCCCCCAAAATGCTGGGTGTCATTGTAGCTTCCTCTTAAGAACCAACCAAGAAGGTGTTCTTTGAAAACAAAAACAAAAAACGACAGACCCGTATGCTAAGGAAGCACACGTTTCGGGATGAAGAAGCTTGTTCCCACGAGCCCACCATTCGGTGCCAGCTTTGTCTCTGCATGGGCTCTGTGGGCTGAGGCAGTTTGCTATGACCTTCCATAGTTGAGCCGAAAGCTGATCGAATGAAAGCTGACCGCTGTGCGATCAATGTCAATCCCACACAGTGTTTTTTGGCGTTCCAACTCTACTTGCTGGTGCGATAGGCAGGGATACAACTGGCGGTTCATTTTATTCGGGAATCTCTAGGTTCATTCCCACCACCCGCAAGGTCATTCCCTACCTATCGCCCCAGCAAGTCAATGCCCCTCTCAAATGTTTCTAGCACTCCCCACAAGATTCATCTGGAACCCCACAAGAAAGGGGGTTCCAATTCCCAAAAGGAGTTTCCTCTAAGAATGATGTTTGTCTTCGATTCAATGCTGATCTGCAACCGGTATACCAGTAGAATTCCATCGGAAAAAGGCCACTTGCTCATTTCCTTCAAGGCCCCTATCGATCGAAATGATCTTGGCCGGGAAAGAAAGCATGAGTTGCCAATTTTAAGACTAAGGCACACTCCTTGGTGGGTTTACCCCCAAAGGCTCATCCAGGGAACTGAGAAGGGGCCAAAACTAGGGGCTCAACTCCTGACCTCGCCTTTGCTTCCCCCGAAGAAAAACACGGAGGCAATTGTTTTGAGGGCTTCAAGGGAGAAATCACGGGTCACAGGAGCCCTATATGATCCAGCATGGCAGCAGAGGCGCGCATGCAAAAACCGTTTGGTTGGCCAGCGGCAACATACATCTTCCATGGGAAAACAAGGCATCCTTCTTTGGTTGAAGGCTTTGAAGGGGAACCCTTCCCAAAAAAAGGAAAAGGAAAACCACTGGTTCCCGAAAAGTGAGAAGCGAAAGATCCAACCCGATGGCAGCCAAGCCTTTGAACAACGGACCGAAGCCCTTCTCCAGCTTTGAGCATCCAAGCACCGAAAAATGAATGCCGACCTTTAGCTGGCCCCATTCTTGTACCATGATCAAAGTCCTGAGAATAATTCCATGTTCTGACTTTGACAACCCGAGAAACAGTCAAAATCATGGCCCCAGTTTTGACCTTCTGGCTTCCGCTGATTTGAGTGTGTCTAAAAAATCAGGAAAATCAACCCCAAAACAGGCGAGTGCCCTTGTGGTTTCTCTGTAAACTACCCAAACCAGCGGCCATGGGGCAAAAAGGGGGGCAGTCTCTTTCTGGTAGTCCACATCTAGGAAGTTCATTCTGCCAGTGGCCCCCAAACCATCAAATTTAAGATAACTTCCTTACACAAAAGTGCGGGCAAACAGTCACACAAATGGGGGGTGCCCACCAGGGGCCCTGATCTTCTTTTAATGTGACTGTTTTGGGGTTCTCGTTAGTGTCCAACGGCTTTTTGGGTTGCTGAAATTATTAGACTCAAGCCTTAGCCTTTTACTTTCAGGGCGGTTCACCCAACCAAGCTCTTCCCAGCTCAAAGGGTAAAGGAATTGAATCTAGGAAGTTCATTCTGCCAGTGGCCCCCAAACCATCAAATTTAAGATAACTTCTTTACAAAAAAGTACGGGCAAACAGTCACGCAAAGGGGGGTGCCCACCAATGGCCGTGATCCTCTTTAATGCGACTGTTTTGGCGTCCTCTTTAGTGTCTAACCTGTTTGGGGGTTGCTGAAAAAAAAGGTCCTTGGTAATACTAAAGTAGAATTGGCAATGCTAAAGCAAGTGCTAGGAATCTGACCCGCAATACTAAAGTAGAATTGGCAATACTAAAGTAAGTACTGGGAAGCTGAGGGTCAGCCTTGGCAATACTAAAGTAGAATTGGCAATACTAAAGTAAGTACTGGGAATCTGAGGGTCAGCCTTGGCAATACTAAAGTAGAATTGGCAATACTAAAGTAAGTACTGTCCCTCCCAGACCCCCAGGATCTCGCTTAAAGAGGGTCCAACTGATTGGTTCCACTCCTAGCGAGGGGGGGGGGGTGGTGTAAACAGGGTCCAACATTACGGATGAAATCACAGGAATACTGGGATTCACCAGCACTCGCAACTGTGCAGGATTCTGCCTATCCACAGAAAGAGCAGATTTGGAAACAAACGCAGCCCGGTAAGAAAAAAATAAACCCGAGTGGGGCACCGCTACAAGTGAGTCACAATCAAAACCCGGTATTAAAATTTTCGACTAAGAAGGCGGCCGCAGCTACTTATGATTGGGATTGTCCTGCACTAACCTTCATCTACCCGGGTTTTGATTGTGGCTCAAGTGAAACTACCATCCACAGACAGAGCAGATTTGTGAAGAAACGCAGCCTGGTAAGAACACCTAAATCCGAGTGGGGCACCGCTACAAGTGAAACTACCATCTGGCATAGGGTCGACATTTGCCCATGGATCAAAAGCCCGTAGCCCCAGTAAACATCCCAATCCCACTAAAATAGGTTCTAAAATGGGTGGTGTACCTACCCCGAAATGGGATCCCATTGGTTTTCACCCACAGCCATTTACCACTCCACTCGCAGAACCCAGCTTGGTCCTGCGCTCGCCGCAAATCCTCCTCGAGCAGGGCCTTCTCATCACGGCTCACCTCGTCTCCGGAGGATCCATGCGAATGTTGACCCCGGATTAACAAACCCGTCCTATTGACTGGGCTGCCCTCAGGTCCCCCGCTAAAAGTGTAACTTTAGTGGGTTAAATGGAAACTACCACTAAACACTAAAAGGCAAAAAGGCTAAGGGGATGGCTGGGAGCCACCAAGTTGATAGGGGGGTTCCTTCCAGAAGTGGCCTGCAGCCCCAACAAACCTACAAATGGGGCGTGGCTCCCACAAAGAACGAGCCGATGGCTCTCGTGATTGACATCGAAACTCTACATTGACAACACCAATCTGGTGGGAAAAGACACGAATAGCAAGGCTTTCCCTTCAAGACTCCAATTCCCTACGCAGCCCCAACAACTTGTACTGGCAAATATGGAGTTTGAGCAACCTGGGCTCAACCAACTGACCCCCTCAGAATTATCAGAGAGACTCCAATTAAGCAAGGATCTTTATCATGGTGAGCTCATTATACCCCCACGTGAGTTCGGTAAAAAAAAACGGTTCCAAGGTCTAGGCACTTGTGAAGGTCCAAAGGGATGATGGAGGGACTCCGAAAACCTTTCGGGTGCCTTCAGGGTCCAGTGATACGTCCAAAAACGCGTGGTTTGGGGCGCTTGGGCCAAAGAACCCAAGAACCTGCACATATCCTCTGATGGGGACACATTGGCCTTCCCTATCCTACTAGTACATCCCAAGGGTAAATTCTTCAGAGAAGTCCAGCATCTTTCGCAACAGGAAACAAACAACTGTTCTAGAAGATGGTCGACTGCCGCAAACATGCGACCAGCACGGCTCATCTGTTTGAGCCTAGAGTCTCCATGGTCCTGGAAAAAGGGGTCCTAACCCTTAATTTTGGGTAATGACCCCATTTGTAAAGGGTGGCGGAGACTCCAGGAGCATACCCTTTTTGGGCTTGCTTTGAATAGAATCCTCAGGTTGAAACCACTTTCGCAGAGATTCCCGAAGACTAGAGACCAACCTCTTTCGCCTTTCAGGAAGGGCAAATGTGCCGGACGGGTCCCTCAGTGGGTTGTCCGTTTGTGGTTTACCTTGTTTTGGATTTTGAAGGGAACCAGTTTGAAGGTTACCATTTTGGGGGCTTCCCCCAACAAAACAGCCAAGCCAATGTGGCTTGAACAGGGTGTGTCTTTGCGTGAGGGTACCCCTTTTGCACTGGTTTGTCAATGGAAACCAAAAGGACCCCAGCCCCTGTTTGTCTCTTTAAAAAAAAAAAGTTCATGTCAAAAAAGTTTGACTTTTTACTGGTTAAAAGGAAATATGGAGGGAATCCAAACAGTTAAAGTCGAAAGATCCAAGCCAATAGCGGAGATCTATGGTGCTATACCCCTTGCGCTTCCCTTCCCCCGGTTTGTGGACTCCGCCTTCAGCTCGGATCTGTACATCTCCGTCTCCTGAGCTGGACGGACTGCCTGAAACCCGAGAAACGGGTGGGTTTCCTTTGGGTTCCTTTGGTTTCCTTTACTAGTAAAGGGCAATCAAACTAATCGATCAAAAGGACACCTATTTTATTCACACGAGCCACGTATGCAGTTCCCTCTACAGGACATGGGACAATTTCCCCAGTGTCAGGGAACATTGGTAAAAATCGCCACTGTTTAAGCCTTTAACCCCCCACAGGGGGTTGTCGGTGTTTGTTCAGGACCCACAAAGAGTACTCGCAACAAGTTTGTAGGGGGAAAAACATGGTGGCAAAGGCTTGTCAGGGTTCCATATTTGCCCTTTATGCATAGCTGAGGAGCTGCGCGGCAAAGAACAACAAGTCTTCAACATCAACCCTTTCTGTGATACCAACAGGTGGCCCCGGGGGCCGGGTATGCGCTCACGAAGTGATTAAGAGGTAATCATTGCAAAAACAGCTTGACTTTGTCACTTGCAATGTTCTTTGTACCATAAAAAGTGGCAATCTCACACCAAGGTTTTCACAAGAGCTGGGTGCTAGATGGGCATCCTGGAAAAAGTGGAACCAATACCCAATGTTAAGATCCGATTCATCCGGATGACCGTAATAGTCAGAGGAACCCCCCAAAGCACCCGGCTGGAAACCCCCAGAACACCCGAACAAAAACCAAAAAAAACAACCTAAGGAACCGGCTGGAACCCCCGCCCCCCCGAGAAAAAAAAAACCGGAGCCGGATGGAAACCCACGAACCGCCCCAACAGCTCGGAACCCTCCCAGCCCGGAACTCGGAACTCGGAACTCGGATCTCGGATCTCGGAACGGA